CCTCTGAAAGTAGAATTTCAATTATGGCCTTAATGTATGTTGTTATTTCTAATAAAAGCAGACTTAAAAGGGACTCAAACACATTTTTCTCCCCATTTGGGTCAGGGGAGGGGGACCAAAGGGCACGAGAGCTCCAAACGTTCCATCTGATCCCAGCGGAACAAGGACTGAGCCTCCTGATTCCCCTTGGTGAATAGTGGGGCACCTGCTCGCTGTCAGGTGAAAGCTCGTGCTGAACAGAGCAACGTGCAAAGCTGAGCCTCGCGCAGAGCCGGGAGCGACTCCCCCAGGGTGGGCTCTGAGCTGCCCTTCAGGCCAGTGGCACGGAGGGGCGCGATCCAGCGGCGCGGGTGAGCTTACCTGCAGGGGCTGCGGCCAGGAGGAAATGCGCCACCGCCCAGGCCAGGGTCCCGGGTGCGGGAGGGGCAGAACGTGGGACCCGGAGGGGGGACCCAAGGGCTGCGGGCGGGAGAATACGGGTGGGGCTGCCTGGGAGGGAGCCTGAGACAAGACCCGACGCCCCCAGCCGCTCCACGTCGCTCTGCAGCGGCCCCGTCCTCTTCCAGGCGTACACGGGCGCGACTGGCCTCGACCGCAGTAGGAAGGCGCTGCACCGGCCCGAGACACAGACACAGCGGCTTCCTATCATGGGGGTGATCGCTGGGGAGTTTAAAAACACCTGTGGCCAGACCCCAGCCCAAACCAAGTGAATCTGTCTCGGGGACCAGGCTGGGGGGACGCTGGTCCTTGCTTGTTCTGAAGGCCCTGAAGGAGATTCGCTGGTGCAGCCACTTGTGATCCGTTTTCTAAATGGATTAGTCAGTGCCTAGGAGATGGCTTCTAGCACATCCAAAATCGATAAGGATTTTTAAAAGACTCATTTTCTGAAAAATCGGAGAGCCAGGTGTGAAAGATAAAGCGAAGTGGCGCACCTACCTTTCCACTGACAGGTTTGGTTGCGATTTTGAGAATTGGCTTCATGTGGCAAGTCTGGCATAAAAACCCAACTGCACCTCTAAAAACACGTGTTCACATGTGTCAACAAATACTTTGTTGCAAATATACTTGGGTGTTTTTCATAAACGAGTGTTCTTTGTGTCAGAGAAAGGGTGAATTTTGCTGTACTTAGTCTGCTTTAAGGGGATTTGTCAAAAAAAAAAAAAAAAACTAATCAAGCAAACTGGAATGCACCAATGTTCCCAGATGTGAACCATATACTCCAAGCTATTCCTCAGCAAATGCAAAGGATGACAAGTGTCAGTACTTCATACAACTAGATTTAATAAGTTGTTATTACAGAAAAAAATGAAGTCCAAACTACAAAGTTTAAGCAGTTGTAAGCAGTAGCTGCATTGAGCTCCATGTTTAGTCACAGTACTGTAGTTCCATACAAGCAATATTAGTCCAAGCCCCAAAGGCAGAAGCTGAGTAAGGGTTACTAGCAAAAAACAATCTAAGAGAACAAGTAATAAAAGATACAATACATTTAAAATTAGTTGTTAGTTGAAAAACAAATACAGAGATCTTAGCTGTGAACACCCTAAAAGTTAAGTCCATTATTTTGACAGCAAAAATACAAATACCTAATACTTTATACCCCAACAGAACTATATCCAGGTAAGAAAGAGAGCGTAAGTTATCCTGTATTAGCACCCAAGTTTTCTACTTGTTGCAATTAACTTTGTCATCATACAAATTTAAACATCCCCGAATCATATAGCCACTTCTTGACCCATTTTGGGGTATAAAGTCAACAGCATTAATTATAAAACACTCTGTGGTAAGATGGAACACTATTGCAGCTGAGATAGAGAAGTTTAGTTATTATAAAAGAAAAAAAAACAAAGAAATGTTAGCTGACATACCATACAAGCTAGTGAAAAGCAACAATCCATTCAAATAAGCCATTTTTAACAAAAAGATACATTTTTTTTCACTAATCTGTGACTAATCTTTCACTCAAACCTTGCAAGTAGAGATGTCACAATACTCAAATATTTAGGTAGGAGCTTTACCCAGTTAAATGCCATTTTGTTGCTAATATAATAGATAAAATGAAAACTAGCAGTTATTCGCTAATTGCATAAATGCAGTACATTCTGCATTAGCCCATGCCTCACTAACAAGCTATAAAACACAAGATATAGGCAGAAATCTAAGCATAATCTTTATACCACTAAGCAAGAATTTTCCGATTTCTTTTCTTCTGTTCCTAATCATTTATTTGTAGTTAATGTAAAATTCCAACCAGTAGTACCCAATTTGAGTTAAAATTTTACATCACAACTTGATCTAATCTATATATTATTTACAAAACTGAATACATAGAGCATACCCAAGACCAACTCTGGACACAAGTTTCTCTGAGTTATTGATGAACCTCACCTCCACAGCGATGGAGCTGAAAGAGGCCATCAACCACTAGTAGAAACATATCATCTATCTGGAGCAAGTCATTGGCTGTTCTGTTTACGCAACACCAGTTTTGCAGTTGTAGTTTTTGCTTTGACTGTAGGTGCTATTGCAATGACACATTAATGACTGTGCCTTAACTGCACAGCTTCCAGGTGAGGAGGGTGTTGGAAAAGCAGCAGCAGAAAGGCAGACAGATCATGCACGCAGTTGCCACAATGAAAGGCAAACAAGGGGCACCAGAACAGGAAGCAGGCGTGGGTGTGGAGGAAGATGCAACCCGACACATAGTCAGGGTCCACAGACAGTGGTGACATCCGAGTGTGCTTCTTCAGTGCCACCAACTGAGCCTTACAGGGAGGCAGCACGAGTGAGACCCTGCAGGTGAGGTCTGCAGTACACCACGAAGGCGGTGTCCTCTTAGCAACTTCCTGTATGACTCAGACATCACCACTGTCAGTGCACAGAAAAGATTCGGCCTGGGAGAAAGGCACTGTCTCACACAAGGACAGCAGTTGGTGGCAGGTTCTCTCTCTTTCTCTCTCTCTCTCTCTCTCTCACACACACACACACACACACACACACACACACACACACACACACGACATAATGAAGAGTTAGAGGGGAAAAAGCAATGAAACATTCTGTTGACTTAGCCAGATTTGAAACCCGGTGGTATTCCGGTTGGGGTGACTTCATTCTCAGGGCCACAGGTTTGGCTGCACCTGGTGTTGTATAAATCCACCGTGACATCCCTAGAGAACTGCACTGTGACATCCCTAGTCTTACACTAAACCACTGTGATAAAGGAAAAGGCTTCTCAAAATCTCACATGTTCTGCTCATTCTGTCATTTTATTACCCAATTATCCGTTACATTTCCAATCACTTTACATAACCAACCATTTTCATCGTTGTCACACTATTGTAAACCACATCAGCAAGTTAATACATAAAGCTTTGCATTTCAAAAAACTAGACACTTTAGTAACAATATTACAAAGGTTTTAGCTTCAAAAATAACTGAAAATGAAAAAAATAAACTTTTAAAGAATTAGCATCATAAAATTAATTTATTCCAATAAAAATACAAAATAATATTATGACATTGACCAGATATGAAAGTCCCTCCCAGAAACAACTCTATTAATGATTGAGAAAGCACTCCTTAAAGAAAATACGAAATAAAATGAAAAATATGTAAATATGTTTAATTTTTTTCTTAGCAAAAAATCTTTCTAAAAATAACAATGAAAATTTGTCTCAGTACAAAGGCTACATTACTATTGAAAAAATACCAGCATGAAGAAAAGGTACATATTTGACAGTAGAAAAATGATTTCAGTGAATCACAATGTCTAAAGTTTGCAATGAAAATAAATCTGCAATAAAGATTTATGCCTTTTTTCTTTTCTTTTTTTTCTATTTTTTATACAAACAGTACAAACAGTATTGCACATAACAACAAATAGTCGAGGTTAAGTTATAGCCTTCAAAAAATCGACTAGTTCAAGTGTCACACCAAGGAAAGGCCACAGCAGGACCTGTGTTACCCAGGGGCTTCCCAGTCAAGTTGCAGGTCAGAACACCTCTGTGTTTTAAAAAATAATTTTTTTGAAGGACCCTCTCTTTTAATATAACATTAACAACTTGGGGGCACATTTATTTACAAAACAAAAGGGAACGTGTTATAATTTAATAAACTAAAAAAGTTCTCTTTAAAAAAATACAAACAGAAGAACTCTTTCACAATCCTGGTCAGTCGCGCACAATCAACGCTTGATTAGAAATATACAAATTAAGGGAAAGTAGTTTCCACCATCTATTCACAACGTTCAGCACCAAATGGAGTTTATTTTTTGTAACCTATTCTTCAGGACAATGTTTTCTGTCTTCACTTTAGCTTTATGCTGTACAATCTTCCAGCTTTTTAAAAAATCTCAGTGTTATTTTAATACATGAAAGAGGGGTGCTTCTTCAAAAAGTTTTGCTTCTTTCACATAATTAGGTAGATTTCTGTAGGTTAGATATGATCTTTAATATTATAGTTATAAAGCTCTAACTTCTTCATTTTCAAAAAACACAAATAAGCATGAAAAAAATAAAGTTACCCATCTGTTAAATCATTTTCTTGCAGAATTAAATTAATATATATTTTTCTGAATAAACTTACTTAGAAAATATCATTTTCTTTCCTATATTTCAAAATTGAGGTATTGCAAAAGATCATGTCAGTCAGAAAGCATGCCTTTTTCCTTAAAAACAAAAAAAAATCTGCCAACTTTTGAAAACTGTCTAGAATACAAAAAGTAGTAGTGCATAACAAAATTTCTTGTACAGATGAAAAAAAAACCCACAAACATAGAAAAAAACAAACAAAACCACACCGGGGCTGGAAAAAAGCAATTATTACCAAAAAGCCTTAAAAAGGGGAGAATTCTAAAATAAGCATTTTTAATCCAGTAAAAAACTATTTTGTTTTTCCTTTTTGAAAACAAACTATAGCTTGAGAGTCAGTAATTGCAACCAAACATGGGAGAACGAAACAAAAGCAACACTAACTTAAGACAGTACAAGGACATCACAGCACAGAAAACACAGCGACTTAAATCTATTCTGCAGTGTCATATCCAGTCAGATTGTCCCCAGAATTCCAAAACATAGGAAGAAGATTAAAAAAAGATTTACATAGTCTTGCAATCATTGTGTGTGTTTATATATTACTATCTGCAGCCCAAGGGTGAATGCTAGAAAAATGTCCACGCTAGTGCTAGCAGGCCTCCATTCTAGACCACGCTAGGGCTAGCAGGCCTTCATTCTAGACCACGCTAGTGCTAGCAGGCCTCCATTCTAGACCACGCTAGGGCTAGCAGGCCTTCATTCTAGACCACGCTAGTGCTAGCAGGCCTTCATTCTAGACCACGCTAGGGTTAGCAGGCCTCCATTCTAGACCACGCTAGTGCTAGCAGGCCTTCATTCTAGACCACGCTAGGGCTAGCAGGCCTCCATTCTAGACCACGCTACGGCTAGCAGGCCTCCATTCTAGACCACGCTAGGGCTAGCAGGCCTGGCTAGCAGGCCTTCATTCTAGACCACGCTAGTGCCAGCAGGCCTTCATTCTACTCAAGCTTAACAGGATAAATCCAGGGAATTAAGTAGTTAGTTTCTCACCCAGACAACCCACTCTGCCCAGGCCATCTTATTTTGTACAGACATTTCTTTAGCATCACCATTACACAACTTTCTTAAAAATGTGCCTAGTTTGTCAATCTGACAACTTATCTCTATATCCTGTATATATTCTTAGTGTTTGTAAGCTAAGATGAGCTCTTTGGTTTTCTGGACAAGGTCTGAAGCTATGTAAAATGGTGCAAGCACTAAGAGATTGTAACTAAGAGCTCATGTGTTAGTTTATAATATACCAGTTATGAACTGTCAAGTTCGTTAATGTCTGACAGAGGCTTTAAACAGTTAAGTTTGATCACAGTTAGACATAATCACTTTACTATATAAAATAAATTGCACAATATATAACAGAGCACCGCAAAGTACTTCATCTACCATCCACAAATTTGCTTGAAGAATATCCTACACCTAGGTTTTATATCGGTTGTAATATAGGTCATTCTGTTATGGGCTCTTCTCATTCAGAGCATTCCATTTACTGAGGCATGCCTTCCTCTGGTCAATTACCAATTCTTTGAATGAAAAAAACTTTTTTAAAAAAATGAGTATTTTATAGCTTATATAGATTCTTAATTTGTGCATTGTGGGAACGTTTTATACTAGACATTGGATATAAAATTTATTGCATGCAGCAACCTGATTAAGTAAACATGCAGTCAGAAATAGTGACCTTCCACCGAAGCTTTCTGAAGTCTATTCTGATCTCCTTTCGGCAGCTGACTCTATCCCTAAAATCACAAAAGTGTGTTGTTGGGTTTTTGTGTTTAATTGATATCTTAGCCTGAATAGAGTATTATGGTATTAATAATACCATTTTAATAGCAGCAAAAGCTATTGCAGCATAAATTTACATAATACTAAAAGATCTAACCAAAATCCTCGGCAAAACAAAAATCAAACATGAAGGAAAAATAAAAGATCCAGCTTATGAGGTATCCTTACAAGTCAAAATAGAGAGCAACTAAAGGCTTATTTTCATGAAGGGTTATCCTTACTCTAAGTGACCCGAACTAATGATTCTGAATTGTTGTGAAGTTTTTGCTACATCTGCCACCTACTCACGAGTATTACCTTTGGTAAGTCTTGTTCTAGGGGCAACTCTCTAAGTTTCTGAAAATAAGTGCATGCTCCAGTTCAAAACAATCAGAACAACACCACCACAGCAACAAACAAAAGAATCACAGACAGTAGCCTGACGGCCGCTAATGAGAATGGCAGCCTACATACTGTCACGAGTGACAAATCAGGTATAAAAAATTAAGGTACCAAGCAGACAAAGGTGTGAATCAAAGTGCAAATCAGTACCATTCTACACTCTGCAATTCTGCATTATACTGGACACTGAGTTCAGTAATATGACTGTAAATAATAATAATAATAATAATTAATAATAATAATAAAAAGACCCAATTCTTCTTTAAAAATCAAGAACGAATGCACAGATTTCCAGAACACTGTAAGCCCTGAGGCAGTGCCCTCTCTCTCCCCTCCTTGTTATCTACTCCAGTACTGTGGCTGGGTCGGCCGTGGCTCAGCTCCAGCGGAACGGGACGTGACGAGGGCGGTCGCCTCCCTCCTTCACCAGCGGTTTGTGGAACTCCCGCCCGGCTCGGGAATGTATGCTCGCCCAGCAGTATTCACAGTAATACTGCAGACAGGTGACGTTGGCACAGAAGAACGGGGCAAACTTCCCACCACAGCGTGTGCCCTGGCACTCATCACACATCTGATCATCTAGCACATATGGCTTTACTTCAACCTGGACCCAAAGAGGAAAGACAGAGAAAAATGGTTTAGCAAAGCTTCCTCACATGTCTTGCTTTTGAGAGTTTATAGTATAGCTTCACGGTACGTCTCAATCAGATGCTGCTTTCAACTCTGCTGATACTGGATGGTAATCGACAGCATAGGCTTTGGAATAAGCTCCTTGATTTACTTCTTGTGTGATATGAGACAAATTCTTAAAATCTCTGTGCCTCTGTTTGCTCTATGACTATATCTGTAAAATGGGTATGTTTTCACACACATAAACACATTTAACACACACACATTTGTGTAATCTGTAAATGGGTATAATAGTGTTTACATCAAAGGGTGCTGGGGAGGATTAAGAGGGGCTGAGCTGAATCCTGAAAGCTGAATCCTGAAAGCTTTGTCTGTCAGTGCAGGACAAAGAACACTGCAGGGAGAGGAAGCAGCCAGGACAAAGGCCATAAGCAAGAGGAGGCAGGCACATCCTTGGGAGATGCTGTGGCTGGAGCCAGGCCTGAGGGCAAGAGGCACACTGAATATGGGAGGAGCTGAAGGGTACACTGCTGTGAGGCTGTGCACCTCAGTGTCGTAGTGATGCAGCTCCCTGAGACTAACACCCCAATACTGCATACCATGGACTGGAGAGGAAAAGGGACTCACAGCTGAGGTGTTAAGAAGCTACTATAATAATTGGGACTTTTTTAGTTTTGGAACTTTCTCTGTTACCTTAATCTCCCCCCAACACTGGAAACTTCAATAGAAGACAACTTTTCATCACAGCCCTTTAGGGAACATTTTTAAATCTAAATGAAGCAAAGCTGTATGACTGAAAACCAAAAGAAGAAAAAAGTTACCACGTTCTCACCCACTTTCCTTTCCTAGAACTTTAGAAAAGAAACATCATTAACTTTATTTATTTTTAATTATTATTATTATTTTTGAGATGGATTGTCACTCTCTTGCCAGGCTGGAGTGTAGTGGTGTGATCTCGGCTCAATGCAACCTCCACCTCCCGGGTTCAAGCCATTCTCCTGCCTCAGCCTCCTAAGTAGCTGGTATTACAGGAGTGCACCACCACGCTCGGCTAATTTTTTGTATTTTTAGTAGAAATGGGGTTTCACCATGTTAGCCAGGCTGGTCTCAAACTCCTGATCTCAGGTGATCCGCCTGCCTCAGCCTTCCAAAGTGCTGGGATTATGGGCGTGAGCCACCATGCCCGGTCGAAATACTATCTTATTGTGGTTTTGATTTGCATTTCTCTAATGATGGACAATGTTTAGCATTTTTTTCATGTGCTTGTTGTCCATTTGTGTATCTTCTTTGGAGATACACAACTCAATGAGGAAATGCATAGAGAATAATTCACATAAGAATTCACAGACAATTCACATAAAAATGTTTATATTAGCTGGTTGTGGTGGCATGCACCTGTAATCCCAGCTACTCAGGAGGTGAGAGGATCACTTGAGCCCAGGAGTTCAAGCCCGGCCTGAGCAGCATACTGTTTCCCTGGCTCTTAAAGAAAAAAAGAAAAAAAAAAAAAGATGTTCATATTTACTTGTAGTCAGGAAAAAAAATTGATGCCATTATTCTCATCAGATTGGCAAACATTTAAAAGAGTGATAACTATTTCTCATCATTTGGTGATAGAAATATGAATTGCTACAACTTTTTTTTTTTTTGAGATGGAGTCTCACTGTTGTTGCCCAGGCTGGAGTGCAATGGAACAATCTCAGCTCACTGCAACCTCCACCTCCTGCAACCTCCACCAGCTCACTGCAACCTCCACCTCCCGCAACCTCCACCTCCCAGGTTCAAGAGATTCTCCTGCCTCAGCCTCCCAAGTAGCTGGGATTACAGGTGCCCACCACCACACCCAAATATAATTTTTATATTTTTAGTACAGATGGGGTTTCACCATGTTGGCCAGGCTGGTCTCAAATTCCTGACCTCAGGTGATCCCCTGCCTTGGCCTCCCAAAGTGCTGGGATTACAGGCGTGAGCCACCACACCTGGTCTGCTACAACATTTTTGAAAAGCAAACTAGCAAATTATTCAAATTAAAAATATGTATACCCTTCAACCCAAGAATCCCAGTGTTGACTATTGTTCCAGATGCAATCCCAATGCTTGGAAATATAACCACCAGAAGTGAGGACATATGTAAAGTATATCTACTGCGAGACTTGTCCACAATGGCAAAAAATCAGAAACAAAGTAAATGTCTAGCTACAGGGAAACACTTGAATAAAATATGGGTTATCCATTTCGATGGAATATCATGCAGCCATGAAAAAGACTTAATTATGCTCCATCGGTTGATGAGAAAAGATTTCCATTACACAGGGACATTAGGACCAAGTGGAACAATGGCTACTGCAAGCTGTAAAATGCTGAACAAACATACGTAAGGTCATGTAATACATTTGTGCTGATATTTGAAAATGCAGTATTAATAAAACAGCACCTTCTGTCTATTTGGGCTTCCAACTAAGCTTGGTAACAGTGCTCCTTACTGGCTAAAGGGTTTTGGGGGATCTAGTCTACACAGTAGTTCAGAAGATGTGTCATGAAGGCTTTCATGACTGCCTTGAGGCCAGAGGCACACAGTGATGCCTTATTTACCAGCTTTCTTAGGGAATAACATATACCTCAAGTTATTTTTCCAGAAACCAGGCACTTCTCCTTTTTGGTGCCAAAATATGTTGAATGTTGATGTTTTTTGACAAAAATCTTGCTAAAATGTACTAGTTCCCCTCCCCCTCTTAGATAGGAGACATTATGAACATTATTCCTAAGGAATGCCAAGTAATACAATGCAGTAGAGAGTTTTCACTTTTTCTGTCAGCCCCCTTCAAAATCTGGTGGTCCGTTATCATATCTAAAACACGTTCCAAACACCTCTTTTAGGTTTGCAATTTCCAATCATTTTCATTTTGCCTGGAAAGTTAGGAAAAAATCAAGTTTGTGAAGAGCTGAACATTAAATGCCAATAGATATGACTCTTAATATGGTGAAAAAAAATAGGCTGGGTGCAGTGGCTGATGCCTGTAATTCCAACACCTTGGAAGGCTGAGGCAGGAGGATCCCTTGAGCCCAGGAGTTCGAGACTAGCCTGGGCAACAACAACAAAAAAATTAGCCCTGCATAGTGGGATGCACCTGTAGTCCCAGCTACTTGGGAGGCTGAGGCGGGAGGATCCCTTGAGCCCAAGAGCTAGAGGCTGCAGTGAGCCAAGATCCTGTCATTGTACTCCAGCCTAGGTGACACAGTGAGACCCTGTCTCAAAAATATATATGTAATAATAGTAAAAATAAAAAACAGAATGTGGCTTTTGGATTGCTACTGTGCTCTCAGGGGCCTTTCCTGAAAGCTTCCAGAGGGATGAGCGGTGCTGTCCCCGCAGAGCTGCTCCTGAGGGTGTCTGAAGAGCAGAGGTTTGCCTAACGACAAGACACACACCATGATGATCCACAAACACAGACATGCGAGTTAGCTACTACGACCTCTCAAACAGCAACAGGCAAACAGTATTTCTGGATTGAAATCAACAAAAGAGAGGCAGAGCAAGATGGAAGAACAGAAGTCTCCGCCGATCAACCTCCACCTGACCCATGCCCCACAAGAACAGGAAGTTAGTAACTATCTACACAGAAAAAAACACCTTTAGAAGAACCAAAAATCAGGTAGGTCCTCCTAGTACCTGGTTTTATCTTCATATTGCTGAAAGAGGCACTGAGGAGATAGAAAAATAGTCCTGAATCACCAAGTATTTAAACCAGCCCACGCCTGAGGGGAATCTCCAATTCCAGCAGGGGGAACTCGAGTTCCCCCAAGCCTCGCCACTGTGGGCTATAGCGCTCTGTGTCTCCAAATCAACTTGAAAGTCAGTCTAGGCCATAAGGACTGCAACACTTAGGTGAGTCCTAGTGCTGAACTAGGCCCAGAGACAGTGGATTCAGGGGGCACGTGGCCTACTGAGACATCAGCCAAGGGAGGGCTGGCATCACCCCTGTCCTAACCCCAGGCTGCACAGCTCATGGCTGCAAAAGAGACCTCTTCCTTCAGTTTGAGGAGAGGAGAGGGAAAAGTGGGAAGGGCTTCGTCTTACGTCTTGGATACCAGCTCAGCCACAGAAGGACAGGGCACAGTCAGAATTGTGAGGTCCCTTTTCCAGGCCCTAGCTCCCAGGTGACATTTCTAGACACACCTTGGGCCATAAGGGAACCCACTGCCTTGAAGGAAGGACCCAGTCCTGGCAGCATTCATTACCTGCTGGCTGAAGAGCCCTTGGGCCCTGAATAGCCAGCAGTGATACCCAGGACCTTGGGTGAGCCTCTGAGACTTGCTGGCTTCAGGTACCAGCAAGGCCACAGTTGGGTAGAGCAGTGGGCAGGCTCCTGGGGTCCCCAACTCTAGGATTTGACTCTTGGATGGCATTTCTGGACCTGCCCTGGGCCAGAGGGGAGCCCAGTGCTCTGAAAGAGGGTTTCAGGCCAGGCAGTGTTTACCACGGGCTGACTTAGGGCCTTAAGGGAATGCTGGACTTAGTCTGGCAGTACTTCTCATGGCCTGGGGTGGCGGTGGTGGAAAAGTGAGACTCCTCCGCCTTTGGAAAGGGGAGGGAAGAGTGGGAAAGACTGCAATTGTAGTTTGAGTGCCAGCTCAGTCACAATACAATAGAACACCAGGTAGACTTCTAAGGTTTTCCACTTTAGTACATGATGCCGGGACAGCATCTCTGAGTCTGCCCAGGGGCTTGGGGAAACTCACCGCCCTGAAGGGAAAGACACAAGCCTGGCTGGCTTTGCCACCTGCTGATAGTAGAGGCCCAGGGCCCTGAGTGAACACAGGCAGTAACCAGGGAGTGGTTACGGCAGGCCTTACGCAAAAGCTGGCTTCAGGTCGGACACAGCACAGTCAGAGTGGTGGTGGCCACAGGGTGACTGAGAACAGAGAGACTCTTTGTTTGGGAGAAAGTAAGGGAAGAGAACAAGAATCTCTGCC